CCCCAAAATAAAGGGACACCTTACATAAAATCAAATACGAGTAACTGTTAAAGATATTGCTATGAATATTGTTTAAATAGTAAAAAAAAATATTTTGAAAACCAAAAGTGTGTGGTTAGTTATAAATTCTAGCCTACATAGTATTATATATTAATACTTTAAGAGTGGTAATATAGATTCCTAAAAAAAACTCAGGATTTTTCAGCAAGAGGACGCCTACCTTTGAAGTAACGATAAACTCGACTGCTCGATATACTTACACTCTCCTACATACACAACAGTTATCAAACTTCGATACCTTAAACGTAACTAGATTCGATGCTCTAGAACTACGACACCACCTCACCTAACTTCACCAAGCTCTACAAACGGTACTACCAATCAACAACGATTTAACTTGACCTTCTAATACACGAGAGAAGCCAACACAAATCGATACATTACTACCACAAGGCTCGATACTCCCGGACTCCAGAGCAACGATACCTACATTCTCATTTCTCTACCAGAGGCGCAGCGATGGGGGGGTGAGGGTGCGGACCGCACCGGATGACACTATTTAGGGTCGTGACACCAAGGCAAAAAATAGCAAAATATATACAGAAAAAAAGATAATTTAAATTAATTAAATGATTAAATAGAGTACTTTAAATAGTCTTTTAAGAACAAAGTGGACAAATTCAGACCCGGTGGAGGGGGGGGGAGGTGACACCATGACGTAAACCTGCTAATGATAAAGAAAACATGCAACATCCAGCTAAATTTATAACCGAATATAGATACAAATCGCTAGTACTATCTGGGCACAGTTTAAAGCAATCACCGTGGGTGTGACAGGGGGGGGAGTTACATCAACTTAACGTTGCAGGAAAACGGTTTGGTTGAGAATCGTAATAAGTTATATGTTAATCCAAGAATGGGGTGGGGGGGGGGGGGGGGGGGTAATATAATTAAATACATCCAGCAAAAAAAAATTGAATACATATACACATGCGTATACACATACTTACAGGTGTATATGGAATATATATATATATATATATATATATATATATATATATATATATATATATATATATATATATATATATATATATATGTGTGTGTGTGTGTGTGTGTGTGTATGTCTGTGTGTGTATGTGTGTGTGTGTGTATATGTGTGTATATGCGTGTGTGTGTGTATTTTTTTTCCTTACGGGGGTGGGGGGGGGGGGTGTGACACCATGAGGTGCCGCACAGGACCTCGCTACGCCACTGTTCTCTACTACCAATCTGATTCCACTAGACCTACAACTACACGACAACAGCCAAATAAAAAATTCGATACTTTAACACTTCAAGAACAGATATCTCATACCTACGGAACCAGGTCAACAACAGGCTTCCACCGCTACTCTCAAATCTAAACGAGTCATCAAAACTTACTAAACAAGTACAATACTTTGAACACCCCGTCATTACAAAACTCAATACACCAGAACAGATTTCTAATTCGAAGTCAGAGAAAACGAGACTTACAAGCACTATTAAAAGCCAAAATTGCATGTGTTTTGGAACGCCCAGTCATGCGCTGTAGCGATCACTAAATCATCATTAAATTAGATAACCGTTTGAAATGTTCGAAATTTAAATTTTCGGACTTTTTTTTTATTGTTTCTACATCAATTGAGTGACCCCAACATAAAAGGGTAAGGTGAATGGTAAAAAGCGCCCCGACCTTTCCAAATTAAGGAATTGTAAGTGCATTTTCACAAATGCGAATAAATATAGGCCCAATGCGTGGGAGGGGCGCAAAATTGGTAGTTCGTCCTGGGCGCCGAAATAGATCGCTGCGCCTTTGTATATACCATCCTATAGTTTATAAAAGATAATCAAAGTTATTAATTATTAGGTACTTTTTGATGTTTCTTGCGCCCCCATAAGGAGGGTGCCATAGACGACCGCCTAACTAACCTTATAGGTAGCGCCGGCCCTGCTTTTGAGGACTGATACAGATTAACAATAGTAATACGACATGATGGGTGCTTTTGGTGGAATTATTTTCGTTTATGCTATTAATTAATTTAAATTGGTAAATAAATCATTTTAACAGTCAGTAGTTGAAATGTAATTTCTAAGAAATTTTAAATTATGATTTAAAAAACACCTGATTATCAAATAATAAACGAGTATTTAATATAAGTTGTTAACAAATTAATTTACCAGTATTTTCGGGTAGCGTCCCTTTGACTAGCTGTAGCGCTGCCTGGATACTCTCCCCTTTAGTCACATCCAAAGGTACCGTCACAAGACGTTTGGAGCAGTTGGAGCTTAAATATTTTCTTCCTTCATCTGTCAGACATCCAGCAAATACGTGGAAACTTAGGCCGTCTAGACGGCTAAAACGTATTAAAATATTTAATCTAGAAAAGACATAGGCTATAACAACGTCGATTGTCAGTAGTAAATGTTGACAAAGCAGACATCTTGAGGTTAGTTTCTCTCCTATCCTATTGGTTGACTGAGGCGTTCCAAATAGCTTTGACGTGAGTGCCTTCCTGTTGGTGAATAATCGCTTTTTTCTTTGGTCAGCTTCTTAAACTCCTTGATGTTTCATGGAGGTGCCTTTTTAAAATAACTGTCATCTCATTTTATATAATTTTTTTATCCGGGCAAATCAGACAAGACACTTTATATGCTGCTGGCTGTTTGTTAAATGTTTTGAGTAAGTAGCCAGCAAAGTCAAGGTTGTCGCTATAGAGCTTCAAAGTGCCATGACTTATAGTCCATGCTCAGCAACAATATTATATGAACGCGCCAATATATCTACAAAGGTATTTCTCACAATTAGTCAACATACAATTTTAGCAAACGTTTAATTATCAGCTTATATGTTTGTATGTGAGAGTATATGTTATGTATGTGTACTGAGACATTAAAGACAATTACATTTTTAAACATTATTATTCAATGGCCCGGTTTTAAGAAATAAAACCTAAATCATTTACTTATTAACTTAGTTCATTTTTTCTTAGCGTAAAGTATGTTAAATATTTGAATAAAACATACGTTTCAGTTAATTTAATCAAATGCCCATTTTCTCATTCCAGTAATTCGATTTCTGAAAGTCGACCAGTAAGGGGCATCGTCCATTCGAGAAATTTGCATTTTGGAAACATCGTACCGTCATTTAATTATGTCATTGCACATTCTGCACTCAACAACAGTTATTTCAAAACGACAACAATGTAAAGATCATATCTCTCGACCTGGCTTTGACCTTTTTGACCTAAAACATGACCTAAAGGCTTCTGCGCATATTGAGAACAAACAATTTATCCAAACATCTTTAAATGTAATTTACGTCTATCATTTACGTTTTGTTTTAGTAATTGATCGAGCCTTTTTATCCACCAACAGAGAAATTAAATTTCTCATAAAATTACGAACCAAGAAAAACAGTAATTACGCTAATTTAAAAAATAATTAATAATCTATTAAGTTTACACAAAAAAAGTAACAAAATATAGTGAATTTGAACAGGATTCGATCCTAATCCCGTAAGATATGTTTGTATCTGTTGTTTTAATTTGTTGGTACAGCGCTAATTGCCACCTCTCTGTTATTCTACTCTGTGGGTACAGCGTTCATAGCAACCAATCAACGAAAGCGGTACATCCTTGATGAATGGTCGATCACCCCATCCCCACCCGCCTGTCAATTAAATACCTCGTGTTGACAACCGAGAAAGTTGCTAATTACAACCAGTTATTAGTTGCGATGTTGACACGCCACCTGTCAACCTCCCGATACGCTCCACTGATTCCAGACACATACAGCCAGTGGGGTGGAACCAAGTGTAACGTCTGCAGCAGCCGATAGCTTCATTGGCCGTGACGGTGTCAAAATCGTCTCACATCTATGTTGAGTTGAATCGATGAAATATATGTATAGGATTATATAAAAAATATAATGCACGTTGATGGCGCAACGGTTTTTAAGCTGGTTAACTAGCAAGACATTTATTATAATTCCCGGTTCAACACTTTTCGGCTTATAGTTTTAGCAATAATCTATAATTTTTTTTAATTTTTTTTTTTTTTGTAAAAATAAAATTACAAGTCCAGCTTATATTCTATTAAAATAATAAGTGTCAATTTAACTATTTTAAAAATTACTTGCCAAAGCGTAATATTTTATAATTGATACTTTTTTTTTCAGCTCTCTAAAATACCCCACAAAGTAACCTATACAGGACAAAGCATGCAGTTTCATATTCTCTAAGTTCCATCTATAAATGGCATGGAAACCTACGTTCTTAGTTTTTGAACTTTTTTATTGTGAGAGTTTCAGTCTCCCTCACACCTGTAGTAGCTTGTCTTGGGTCCATCTTAAACTAACCATGTCTATTCATCAGAAACATATAACAAGGATTGAGATCCAGATGTCTATTCTAGCTTTCAAGTGTTTTATTATTGGACTACACCGTTATACGGATATCTTTGATTTAGAGTCTAAATTGTTAATATAATGTAGACTAAATCATATTATATTACAACCCGTTTGTCTTTGTGGTTGGTTTAGTATCCGCCCTAAATCAACTATGGCCGAGGTCTTGGACTTCATACCTAACCAAACAAACAATATTAAAATACTATTTTTGTTGTAAATTGGAGCTGTATAGGTGAAACAAAGCAGACCTTAATATAACAAGTTTGGTTCAATGTTTAATGGAGTAACAGTATTGATCTAATCAAATTTCCAGGAGTTTTTAACCTAGCAAAACTTACCAGATACAAATATTATTTCTTCCATAAATTGGTGTACGCGTAGGTGAAACAAAGTAGACCTTAATATTACAGGTTTGTTTCAATCCTTCTTTTAAGTAGGTCATATTTCCAGGAAAAACAGATACAATACAAATATTATTCTGGAATAAAGTGTGTATGTATCGCTGAAAAAAAGCAGACCTTGGTTCAGCTCATTAGTTCCTGTGACTCTTCTAGAATCCGTCTTTAACCATGGAATTCATCCAAGAATTCACACCCAACCAAAGTTACGAGATCAAAACAATACACGACGAATCTCAGCACCCAGAGTTACTCACTCCAGACCAGACATTTTTCCTGCTTCAAATTTTAATGTTTGGTGTAACCCCAACCATCTCGCTGCTGGGAGTTGTAGGGAATATCTTTAGTATAATCATCCTAAAGAAACAAGGCCTTCACAAAACGTCGAACATTCTCCTTGTATCGCTTGCGTTTAGCGATATACTTTTCCTCATTGGATTCAACAGCGTGCCTAAATTGTTGTACGAAATGTCGGGTCCTGTAGAGGGGTTCAGGTTTGAGAAGACCGACTCTTATGTGCTGTATCTATTTCACCACGTCTTCAACAACCTGGACTACGCCTCTGGGGGAACGTCCCTGACTTTACCCATGCTGATTACATTTGAAAGACTCGTTGCCGTGTTTTTACCGTTAAAGTTTAACCTGATTATAACCCCGGCCAGAACTTGGGCGGCCGTGTTCTTCATCAACGTATTCTGGTACGCCTTCTTCATTCACCTGTCATTTTATGTGACATTAACGTATGCGGTAAACAAAGATCTAAATGTCACATTAGGTCTGATCGAACGCTCCCAGTACCACGCGGATAACCCGGCAACCGTCGCCATCTTGGAAGACGCCATGACCTACTTAGTGATGAAAATTCCTCCTATCGTTACCATCGTCGGTTGTGTTCTTGTGGGCATCAAGGTCAAGCTCGCAGCTAGCCGACGACTCAAGATGACGTCGCAAGGCTCGAAGAAAGAAAAATCGAACCGGACGACGAAGATGCTGTTGGCTGTGTGCGTCGTGTACACCATCGCCTGCGCCGTTTTGAACCTGCCCAACTACATCCCCCAGTACATGTACTACACCATGACGAGCGACGCCCCCTCTAACCTGGGCAAGGTCATGTACCAGGTCATGAACATCGCCTTGTGTATCAACAGCTCCTGTAACTTCATCGTCTACGTCATCATGAACAAAAACTTCAGGCGTTCCTACAAAGAACTCTTCACATGCCACCAAAAACAGTAGCAATATAAAATGTTCATGTTTGTTATTCTAAGGTGCGCCGTGGTCGAGAGATAGGCCTCGCGATTACTTTCTGTATGATGTTTCTGAAACAACGCGTGATTTGAATCGGTGAAAAGGTAAAGGCAACTTGGCATATTGACATATGCCACATTCAAGTAACTTGATGATTTACTTCATCTGCCCAATGGACTATCTGTGCTGAAGGGTCCTTTACCTTATCATTTATATTGTCCTAAATGATGAATTATAGTTTGACAGTATAAATTCATCAAGACATGCATAAAAAACAAATAAATTAATGTGTTTTCTATAAGCTTGAATGGTGTATACGTTAAATCAGAGACAGATTTAAGCCCCCCCCCCCTCCAACAATACGATCGAATAAAGACCCCTCCCCCGTCACTCTTCCCCTAGCAGTTCTTGACATCCTATATATATATATATATATATATATATATATATATATATATATATATATATATATATATATATATATATATATAGGTATATATATGGTAATATATATATATATATATATATATATATATATATATATATATATATATATATTATCATGTCTTGGAAAAGTATATAACAACGCCGATATTTCATACTGTGACTCAAAACGACAGAGATAGTATTTATTGCCTATGGAGTTTTAGAATGCCTGGTTTTCTATCATTACCTAGTATTTATAAATTTATTATTTTTATTTTTTTTTTAAACACATAGATCTAGTTCCAGAACTTCCAGATTGCATTACACGCCTATCCTTCTTATTTGTCGAATTTATACGAAATAGAAATTGTTGTTTTCTACTAGCGAATTTATTCATATTCCCGTATGAATGATATAATGTGTTTCATTGAAATAAACCAGACTTGCTACCAACAGAGCTCCAGGTGTGTAGGAAATGTAGGGTCGAGCTCAGTACACAACAAATTTTCCTGTATAAAATAACAAGCACCACGTCAAAAAGATAAAATAAAGCGGGAGTGATCTCCCCTAACATTTTTACTTTCTCGTATAAGAAATATAGAGAAAGTCTTGTAATCGTGCAAAAAAATTATAATCAAGGTTACACCTCCCTGAGTCGTAAAAACATAGTTTGCCTGTGTGTGTGTGTGTATTTTGTGTGTGTGTGTGTTTTTGTGTGTTTGTGTGTGTGTGTGTGTGTTTGTGTGTGTGTGTGTTTGTGTGTGTGTGTGTGTGTGTGTGTTTGTGTGTGTGTGTGTGTGTGTGTGTGTGTGTGGGTGGGTGGGTGGGTGTGTGTGTGGGTGCGTGCGTGCGTGCGTGCGTGCTCGCGTGCGTGCGTGCGTGCGTGTGTGCGTGTGTGTGTGTGTGTGTGTGTGTGTGTATGTGTGTGTGTGTGTGTGTGTGTGTGTGTGTGTGTGTGTGTGTAAATACGATAACTTGAGTACTGTTACAGCTAGGTTGATGAAATTTTATATTTACGTATTTTATCAAATTAGTAGTTCCGTATAAACTTTTCAGCGATTTCCGATGATCGGAAGTGGAATTTGTTCTACTTTTAATTTTTCAAATGCTTATAACTTGAGTACTATTTCAGAAAGATAAATGAAATTTCACAAAATAAGCACAAGATTTAATTCTCTGCCTTCTGTCAAATTTTGAGTAACCCGTTGAACGGAAGTACTAATTTACGCTATTTCCGATTTATCAAAAAACGAATGTGAATTTATAAAGTACTAATAATATTCCGCACTATTATACACATTTCGTTTAGCGTTCACATGGTTTGCAAATCTTTTTTATTATATTTTAAAAATTTTAAGTAAATAAAAATGGATTAAAAATAATGTCTATATCCCGAGTTGCCATCGCCCGTAGTGTTATATAAGAATATTCGAGAAAGTTTAGGGGAGATCACTCCGGTTTATTTAAAAAGAAATGTGCACCAAATGAACATCAACAATAGAGCAGAAAATTAGTGCTTTATTAAAGAAACATTAAATCATTTTTTACAAGTTAATTAAAAATCTAATAAAATAACATTAAATGTTACAGTGCATTGTCATCGAGTGTAGTTAAGTAAATATTCCTCTATTTGATTGGTTGGGGAGATGAAATAGAGTTCATGTGTTTCTTGATATAGGCATATGAAAGGATAATTTGGTCAGCACTATGCCTAATTTTCTTTATTTTCGCTTTGGAGATTGAGCCTATGTGAAAAATTTTGAACAACTCGATCCGGTAGATGTAATATGTTTTCAGAAATCGCGAATAGCGTTAATGTAAAACTTGATTGTACGGGAAAACACTCAAAATTTGAGAGAATTAAGAGAATAAGATCTTACATCTATATTTAAAATTTCGTTCACCTAAATGAAACCACTAAAGTTATCGGTATTTTAGAAAACAGAAATAAAGTACAACTTCCGGCTATCGGAAGTCACTAAAAAATTTACAGCAATTAAAGTATAAGATCCTATACTTATAAATGAAATTTAGATAAAGCAGTACTCAATTTATAGTCTTTTAACTGAAATAGAGTAAAGTACCACTTCCGTTTCCCGAAAATCGTACATTTGAAAAAAACATGCTCATACAATATAATACTTATATGTGAAATTTCGTCCACCTAACTTAAACGGTACTCAGGTTATTGGCTTTTGAGAAACTGGAAGTAGAGTAAGTACCATTTAATATAATACTTATATATGAATTTTCTTGACTTGACTTAGTCCTCTTTCTTCCTTAATCGTATGAAACATAGAGCCTCAACCATTTCCTTCCATTTTCTCCGATCCCCGGCTATTGATTTTGCAATCTCCCAAGACATCCCTGTTGGCTTCAGTTCTTCGAGAAGACTCCGCCTCCAGGTCTGTCTTGGGCGCCCTCTCTTCCATTTTCCCTTGGGGTTCCGCTCAAGCTCCTGGTGTGTTACATTAGAGTGAGCCTTACGCAGTGTGTGACCCACCCAGCGCCACTTCCTCCTTCTTATTTGTACAGTCATAGGCTCCTGCCCAGCCTTTCTCCATAATTCTATTTTCGGCACTTTGTCCTGGCACCTCAATTCAGAAATCTATCTAAGACAATTGTTCATGAAGGTCTGTATCTTCTCTGTGCTTGGCTTGGAGACTCTCCATGCCTCTGCTCCACATAACAAAACTGCCTTGACATTTGAATTTAGAATAATAATATGTATTGTGTTGGAGATGGCAGAATTTTTCCAAATGGGTCGCGGAAAAAAAAATTATATGTAATTTCTTCATCTTACCTTAAACAGCCATCAAGCTGTCGTGTTTAAAAACACACACACAGTCATACACACACACAGTCACAAGAAATACAGACAAAATTGCATAACTCAGTTTTTCCGACTTAGGGAGGTGTAAAACTTCTTTTAACATCATTACAATACTTTCTATACACTTCCATTACGAGAAAGTATAAAACGAAGTTGTAGCGTATTGGGGCTATTTAAAACACGTTTTGAAAGTAGGAAATTATGCATTGATGACGTAATTGTTGCCTTCTGTCTTCTTCTTCTTTCTTAATTTTAGTGTTGAAAGAGATCCCCTACAATGGTTTTGCGCCATTGAGGCCATTGACTCCGATTTCAGCCTGCTTTTATTTCTGGATTTGCTTCCATAGCCTTTGTTTAACCAGTTGTCTGATTTTGGAGTTGTCTCTCCTAGAAGAGTGGCTGTCCTAAGCTAACGAGCCTCATCTGCCCGAGAGTTCGAACTCGAGACTTTTCGGTTCACCAACCATGAGCTTTACTGACTCGACCACGACTTGTGTAAGAACCGAAATATTTAGGACATTACAATTTTCACTTACAATGACATTTATATTTTTCAGACATAAGTGTAGTTGAAAATATTTTAGTTTCTTAGAATTTGTTTGGTTTAATTGCCCCTGCTACTAACACGGAGCACCCCAATCAAAGACTGACAATTATCCCGTTCTGATGTTTACACAAAGTTTGTTTGTCGTGTTTCTCTAATGTTTACTGCCCTATGAGCTGTATGCTTCTAGATCTAATCACGCGGAGACAAATTAATTTTACTGCTAAATTTACTTTCTATGTGATTTATAAGAGCTCCTAGTTTTAAACACTCACACACACATGTATATATATATATATATATATATATATATATATATATATATATATATATATATATATATATTATTTATTTATTTATTTATACATAAGAATTGAAAATTGTTATTGGAGGAAGTTTTTCTTTATTATTTAGTGATAAAAAAGTTGTGGCATTTCATATATTTGTCGATTTTTCAGGCTTTAACTCAGATAGTTTTGTTTGCTTTTGTAACCGAAGAATATGATTTTTTTAATCAACTCAACAACAGTCCGTTTCTATGTTGAAACGGTCTATCTAGTGTTGGTGAGTTAATAAAATAATTGAGGAAGCAACAGGATTATAACCTCAGGGTTTTTTATTGTTCATGTAACGAGAGCGCGTCTTTGTTACAGCTTAGAGCTAAAGATTTGCTTACTTCTATAAATTAACGCTCTAAACGTTTAAAATAGTGTGCCGAGAGTGTTTTAACTTCAAATCTTGAACGACTGAACTCATATGCACCATTTTTTTATTTAACACAATCCAAACTGTTTTAGCCTTTGTATTTGGATCTGTGTAAAAACACACCAGTTGAATTTAGGGTGAAGGCATGTTTGTTATGCATCCTGATACCACAACTGAGACAAATGTAAACGTTTGAGATTTTGAACCGAGTCGAGAAAATATACCAGTGATTCCCGTTCAAGGAAACACCAATGGTAGCTCTGTCTAAAGGAACGATGGCACACGGCGAGGGTGGTAACTCAGTTTAATCCGGTACTCGGCAGTACGTGTAAAGAGCAATGGGATATCTGGACATTCTGCGACTAATATCTGGTGCGCCATAAGGCTTGTGGCGACCATTCATTATTTGATTTGGTCGTTGTTTTTAACAACCCCATCTGTTGTAGTAGTGCTGGTCTGTTTATCACACCACAAATTGTT